GACGTAGCGAAATAACTTCTAATGTCTGTCCTTTTCTTTTTTGGTGGCGACATGGTCTCGGAGGCTCATAATAAATGTCAAACTAAGAAGCTTCCGTTCCGCGCACCGCCTGTTGCTAATCAAAGATCGTAGATCCACGTTCTTTGAGCCAATATGGCAAAAATTGGTCGGGACTTTTTCATATCCCGTGAATATTGGTCGGGACATGTCCCTACCGTCCCTACCCAAACCTACGCCCATGCCTACGCCTATACATGTTGAAAAAGTACACACAAATCACCTGGTACGCACACACAAAACTGCAGTTACACACAAATCCGGTTACGAATGCACAACTATTTTTGAGACTCATTTCATGCCTCGGGGAAGCTCCAACTGCTAGTAAAAGCTGGGACATCTGAATTTTCTTCGGAACTGTTTCTTTTTTCCATAGTTCAATACGTATTTCTCTCTTTACTTGTCTCGTGGCTTAGACATATTTTTGTGAGAGAAAAATACATATGTCATTACACCCACGTCTACTTTTTAATACTATAAGATTGTTTATATATGGATCCGCATTTGGGACCTATACAACTGTAATTACTTGGGTAAAAAATTCGACCACTAGAATGGCGGGTCAGCCGAGTGATCGTGTTCGTGGTCTACCGTCCGAAGTAAGTGGATGTTAAAATTTGCACGTTTTACTGACCGTTGTAATGCGTATTTTTTAGATTATTTCAGATTACGTTTTACGTGTCAAGTAGTTCGACCCAAAGTTCTCGCCCTTCTATGTTAGCAATAGCTCATGTCTACGTTAGCTAAGCTACTATTAGTCCTCTATTAGTATCACGCATCGGTACAGTTTAAAACAGTATCTTCCTGGCCCATTACAGCTATGTCTACGTTTATCACCATGCTCAGCTATTTTTATGATGCCGACAATAATGTAGGCTTAGGTGACGTCTTTTATTATAATTTATTATAATTATATACTTTATTAATTATCTGGCAGATAATTAATAAAATATTAATTATCTGCCAGATAATTAATAAAATATTCCATATTTAATTTGTATATGTCCTTTTTCAACTATGCAATTTATAAAGTGAAAAATTTAACACTGAGTGAAATGTGGAAAACACATACATTTTTCGATTTACAAGATATTTTTATATTTATGATTCCAAAACTTTTAGCAACTCAGGTGTTGATTGATCTATATAATTGAGATTTATTTGTTGCCTCAAAAGCAGATAGTTCGAAACATGGCTCATGCCTTGGCTACAGCACTCACAAGGGAACTTGTGGGAAATACAAGCTCTCCCTCAACAAGTTCATGCCCTAATATCGGCAACAATTCTGGCCCTTTGGCTTCAAATTCTTCAACACGGGTCAACCAGGCATTAAAACGGTAAGATTTGAATTTCTTTTTAAAATTGGAAACGAAGTAGATAACAGTTATGTATTTATTTCATATATGTTTTTTCATTGTTGTTGTTTTTTTATTTTATGGACTCTTCCTTGACTGGATGTTTTGTCTCAAAATATTATTATTATCTTTATTCTCAAAGGCAATTTCCAAATCTGTTTCAAAAGTCAGACCTGAAAAAAGGCAAACAGAGGATTATCGCCTCAACTCGTTCTACAAAAATCTCCAACATTGGAATATACGTATTGCCAGGCCCCACCAATCTAACCCCCAAAAATTCTGATGAGTTTCACTTAGCACATGCAGGGTTAAGGAGAAGGGTGCTTTCTTTTTCTGACGACAGCAGGCATGAGGAGGTAATAAATGATAAATTATCATTTACTCATAATATTTCATGTATAATTTATTTTGTATTGGTGTTCTTATAGTAGTATGCATTATATATAACAGATTGTCAGTCAGTTGGAGGACGAGTTTATCAAACTTAAACAACTGAAGGGAAGATGGATGTTCCATAAAGCATCAGGTTAAAATGATTCCTCTTTAATAAGATTGTTCATATTTATTTTGATTTGTAAAATGTTCAGGTTACACCAATAAATGCATATCTTTATTTTATCTCAGGTGGAGGTGGTCAAAGGAAATTGTCAATAATCCCAATGGATGCTGAGGGGTACAGCGGCAAGCTGCTTCAAATAATGGGAAAATAGTCCTCTTCCTGGTACCCCTCCAGGAAGAACTGGAGACAAGTCCACTTCCATTTGATGCAGAGGACTTTGCCAAAATGCCTCAGGTGCCCTGTGTCACTTGTGGTATAACAATGCCTCTTCAGATGCTGGCGTTACATGCTGGGTCTTGCAGAAAAAATAAAAAAGTAAGTTGTCCTCATTTCTTCCATAACTTAATCAATCAACATTACTATGTTGAACTCTGGTTTTAAACCCTCTCTCTCTCTCTCTCTCTCTCTCTCTCTCTCTCTGTATATATATATATATATATATATATATATATATATATATATATATATATATATATATACAGACACACATGCCTGTGACAATACTGGCATTAATGTTTCCCAATTTAAACAGAGTCGGACTGATCAGACTGAACCTATAGAGGTTGATGAGGATGACTGTGACACATTGGAGGAGCCAGAAGACACAATTGAAGATTTGGAAGAAAGAGAGGTAGGATCCTGTTAAAAAAGTTGCACACGAAGTAATTTATTTTTACAAAATAAAGCAAATAACTTCTAATATTCTTGCAAAAAATATATTTTTTAATTTTTATTATTTTGAAAAAATATTTTTCTGTGCAGTGCTGCCCTATCTGCCAGAGGGATTTCTTGAAGTATGTGCTTCCTTATCATGCCTGTGACAGGTATTAGTGTATATTTTTTTTTCTTTAGGAAGGTAGACGGATATGTTTTTATGTGAATAGGGCATGTAATGTAAAAATGGTATGAGTATTCAGACAACATGTAAAAAAGAGCTTTACAACTACAGTTAATTTAAAAATTTTGCCCTAATAAAATATTTGAAAACATTTTCTATCACTGATTCTGTAATATAGCTGGATGTCATTTCCTATCACATAAATAACATTTTTTTCCTTCAGGAGGGAGGGAGTATTGGAAATACACCAAGATATGCCAGGACCATCATCAACAACTTCAGGAACTTCTTATTCTGCAGAACCTAGAAGTACTGAAGGTATCATACTATAGTAAATAAGTCCAAAAAAATATTATGTGATCCTGGATGTTGTTGGGTAGGTTTGCTGTATATCTGTTGTATTTTAAAGAAACAAAAAAACATTGCTGTATGTTGTAGGACAAAATTAATGTGTACAGATGTAACATTTTGTTAATTATGAATTTGCCAGAATGGAAAACAGTTGGAGATCCACAGAAGGCTGTTGAGCTGTTTGTCAGACAACTGAAGCAAGTAGGAGTTAACCAGAGGACACTTGTTCTCACTCTGGATGCGATGGACACTGATGAGGAGCGAGATATGTCTCTCATTTCATTTTACAAGCACAGGCGTGAGATAATCCACTGGGCAGCTCCTTTTCATTGTTGCATTCAAGGTATTACTTCATATCAGCTCAACAGTACTGGAAAACAGCTCTTTCGTCTTACCAGGCTCTTTTATTGTAGGTAATGCTGCAGTTGGTAGAGGCGTGACAAGACACATCATCTCGTCTGCCATTTCCAAGCTGAAACAAGGATTTAAAATGAACTTCGGTATGTGCAAAATAGACTTCAGAATTAATTAATAAAGCTATACATTTGGGGTGTCATCTCAGTTGGTACATTTAACAGTAGACTTATTTCTTTTTTTCATTTTTTAGGAAATGCTGCAGTGACTGCAATGTTTGAAGGGGAAACTGATCACCTTGTACCAACTACTTCAGCAGTGCTTGCTGAGAGCGAGTCATGGCTGGTCGGCTGATTGGCCACTCTTTAATTAATGGAGGTCCAACCTTGTTGGGCATCAGCTTGGCAGTAGTGCATGCCTTAACAAGTGGTTCAAAGGAGTTGGCGACAACATACCTTTCCCTAGAAGACTGCCGAGATATTGACCACAGAGAGATCATTGGTTTCATAAGTAAACAAAATTGACTTATCAAAATTTTTAACATGCATCACAAATATGAAATCCAGCTAAATTGGATGTTTTAATAAATACTAAGTTAATAATGCTTTTTTACCAGCTGCTGAAAGAAGAGATGACTGAGGAAGAGACTTCAAGATTGTCCAATCTGTGTATGGAGTGGTATTTTTCTGTGCCAACCAAGGAGACAAACAAACTTCTCCTCTTACAGCAGCTCCTCACCCATGCTGTAATAAAAATATTAACTTTTGATTTTTTTTTATTATTTGTCTTGACTTAAAGAGTTAAATGTGTTATTTAGGTTTGTTAAACAATGTCCAAGTGTACTTGAGAAATAATTATATTTATTCTGAACATTGATGCCACTAATAAGGTGTAATATTTACAGGCCATCACTCGACTTAGTGTGCAATAAAGCACCTGAAAAGGGGACTTAAAGAAACTAATTCAGGTCTGGATGGCCACTAATTACATCCAGACCTGATGTTGTGCCCCTCCTCTTCCCGAGGGAAAGTGACGTGGAAATCACACCCCAGGTCAATGTATAATCTGTTTTAACATTATAGAGATGTATCTAAATATATGCTTTTACTCTGAAACCTGGTCTGAATATTACTATTTTAAACTGTTTCTGCAATTATAGATGGTCCTGCAGTCAACCGTTTGGCCGCACCTAAAAAAAAGGTATGACAGTGACGACAGCGACAATGACTTGGAGGCGGAAACTGCACTGGTGGCTGGGTTATTCCGTCAGTTTGTCAAAGAAGGTAAAATGTCTGCATGAGCATTTTGACAGTATTTATATGTTATTTTGAAAATGACAAAAGACATGTGCATTACATACCAGCATGTTTCTGCTAATCATGTTTTACAACACAGCACAGATAAATTAGGTACATTAGCAGTATTCATATACAGTAATTATTTGCATTTGGTGGAAAAAAGGATGCAAAGCCCTTGTTATGTTTCCAAACAGTTTTGTATACCAGTTACAAAAAGACTATGTGGCTATAGAACAGACTTAAAGTAAAATGAGAAGGTGTCTGGACCAAAAATACGATTCAGTTGTATTTGAGAAGGAATGCAATTCACAAAACACCACATCTTTGAGGACCTTCAACGAATAAATCACATTATTATATAGATGCCACAGGAAACATGGTGTTTCTCTTAGTCTATGCTTTGACAGGAGGTCAATCAGTTAACAAGGTAAAAGGTATTCAAATGAGTTTGATTTTTTAATGATATCACATTTATATGGATCTGTTGCTTATATTTAAAATACTTTTGCCTAAATATCTCAAACTCAACTTTATGAATGATTCAATTATACAGAAAATTCCACATGTATCTAAAACAAATTCATTTATACTTTTCATAGCGTCTTCAGACAAACTGCGCGAGCTCCTGAGGTTTTGGGTTGGCTGGGAGGTCCCTTGCCAAGAGCTGAAGCTTGAAGTTGTCCTGTCAACTGGACCTAACCATATGCCAACGTCTTCAACCTGTAGTAAGCGATTACGGCTACCAAGTCACTACACCACCTACCAGGCCCTGTCAGCCGACATGAATGTGTGTCTGAAATTAGTAGAGACAGGCTTTGGTCTTATTTGATAACTATGTATTGATGTTTCATTTGTTGAAAAATTGCAGTTCGACATGGCAATTCAGTTAAAATAGAAAGTAATTTTATTATTAGCCTTGCTTTTTTTTTTTTTTTTTTTTTACAAATAATGTCCATCAACACAGTCTTGACATGAAGTTGTGTTCCTGAGGTGACTCCTAAATGTTTGTCAGGGTTCATCATGTGGTTTTTTTGTTGAAATATTCCACAAATGTTTGGCATTCAAACATAAAATAATTTTCATGTTTCTGGTGTACATTAAACTTTATAAAGTTAACATTTTTGCCAGCTGGTTCTTTCTCTAGCTTGTACTTGCTTGTATATTTGTACATGTTTGACGGATTTTTTAAATAAATGGTATTGAAAATGCTGTTAATTACAAACATTTAAATTTAAGTGACATCTAATTTGTCACAAGTAAAGTTTCCAAATATTGCAGAGTATCCATGTAAATGTCCATGCCACTAGACTCTGAAGGTTGTAGGGGGTCAATGTTTTCACGGAGAAGCTCCATCTGATCTTCTGTAAGTGGGCTGTCCAACTCTGGTACTCGCAATTCAGCATGTGGATCAGGAACAATCCCACTTTCCTCCCAGTTTATAATGGGAATCTGCAAAACATACATAGCATTATAGCTGGTGGAAAACATTTGTTTCATTTGAAATAACAAAAAAAGACATTCAAGTACCTCTGGGTCAACCACTGAATGTCCGATCTGTCCCAGTTCCCACAACTGATTTGGAGTGAGGTTTTGTTCAGTTCTCATTGGGTGATTGTCCCATCCTTGTTTAAATATGTCAAGATTCACTTGCAAGCGAGGCAAGAAAACATAATGACAGCAAAACAAGTGCAGAGGATTGCTAAGATCCAAGAGGTTTTCCTCCTCCAGTTGGTGTAGAACATTGTAGAAAACACATGTGACTCCCATCCACAGATCACGCCACAACCTCTCTATCCAGTGTGAAAGCATATAAAATGTTACTTATACACACACATAGTTGTGGAAAAAGTGTTTCACCCCATTCTTATTTTGTAGTTTTACATAAGGTTCTTACACTCCAGTGTTAAATAATATCAAAGTAATTTAAAGATTAAAAAGCAAAAACACCCAAAAAAATCAGTTCTTAACTGAAGTTGTTGGTTAAAGATGCAAGACAAAAATCCCATTTTATATGTAAAAAAAAATTGCACCCACATCATGCAGAGATCAGCGCCCCCAGTCACAACTGAGACGAGGTTGTTCACCTAGGAACACAGCCTCACACATAGGCTAGAATTGCATCTGTGTGACTGTCCCATTTCATCCGATGTCATAGTAACACTGAATTTCATAAGAAGAACCAACAAAGCAGATCATAGCAATAGTAAAAAATGGTGGTGTTAGAGTATTTGTGTAGTTTGATTTGATGAAAGGAACATTTATTTCTGCTGTCCACCAAGACACACTGAAAGGCAACATCTGGCCATCTGTTGGTGACATAAAGCTTAAATCAACTTTGGTTGATTTAAGCAATTCCAGCAATGATCGAAAAGCATCATCAAGTCCACCTATGAATGGCAGAAAAAAAAACATCAAAACTTTGTGATGGCCTAGTGAAACTCCGGACTTGAATCCTATAGATATGCTATTGCATCAACTTAAAAAGGAAGTTTACACTGGGATCCTTCCAGTGTGTTTCAATAACAATACTGAAAAAATTGGTATTCAAAATTTCTTCGCAGCTGGAAAACAAAAAGTGAATGCAAGTTATCAAAGGTTCATTGTAGTTGTTACATCTAATGGTGACCCACACGGTTACTGGTATTAGGGGGCAAGTACTTTTTCACACAGAGCCATGAAAGTACCGATTTCTTTATTAATCTAAATTGTTGTTTAAAAAGGGCATTTGGTGTTTACTTGTATTGACTTTGACAAATACTTCTCTTAAAGATGTCAAGTTCTTGTGAGAAATCATCATTTCATTGTGAGAAATCTCTGAACAGTTCACCAACCTTTGGTTGTGCACACTTTTGCCAGCAATAAAGCTTCCATTATCTGGACCCCGCACAGTTAACATCAGACGTGCAACTGCAACATTCTCTCCACCATGATCTGCTCGCACCCTAAAATTAGTCATATTAGTTACTGCTTGCATGACTTATAAAACTACAAGGTCAAATATAAGGAATATCTCAAGTAGAGAGATATTCTTCTTCCTCAGTTGTTTGTTCAATTTCTAAAAAATTAATACAAATTGCAAAAAGCTTTTTACCGAAGTGGATACCCAAATTCTTCCACAACATTACAGAAGAAAGCCAATGTTGTCAGAACGATTATTGTTTGCAGCTGCCAGGTAATCTTTGGAAAAAGAAGTTTTATTTACAGTTGTAAAAACAAGAATAACAAATGTAAAAATTGGTGAGTATAATGACACACTAAACTATTCAATGATGTTAACAAAAAAACTTATGTGTGGAAGGAAAAAAAGAAACAATAAACCACAACTAAAGTCTTCTGGACAGTGAAATTGAAAGTGCTGTTAAAGTCAAAATAAGTTGTGAACCTTTTGAAAACCAAGTTTCACAAGTTTGTGTGGTTTTCTGTCCTGAGCACTCCAGAGGACGTGAATTTTTTTTTTTTTTTTTTTGCATTCGCTCGCAATACGCTAACTGCAACCTTTGCTGGTCTATTTCATATAGTCACAAATATCAATTTAAAATTTCAAATATATACACATTTAAAGAGCATCAGTGATTATTATTAACTCTTTGAATATCGATTTATTCACTGCATGTTTATGTATGTTTAAGGTTGAAATGGAACTGCACATGAAAACGACCCTTTAAACCATTCAGACTATCAACACAAAAGAGATCGACAATAAAAAATGTCAGATGACTGGTTACCCCGTGATAATAACTCAGAAATAGTCCTAATAGTTTGGATGTATTTTTTCCTACCTACTCACAACAAGTTTTTGTTTATATCATAGATTTGTGATGTGTTTCTATCCTAAAGAAACATATATTACTTATATTTCACAGCAAGTTATTTATTTATTTATTTTTTTACTAAATTCAATAGTTGTATTATTCCATGTGTGCAATATTAACACACATGGAGTAACCTCACAAAAACATTATATTAAAGGTTACTTTCTGCCCATTGTACAGAAAGTACGATGGGCACCGTAGGAAAGGCCAACAATATTCAATTATGCCACATGAACATATTGCGGGAGAACACAAAACCTTTTGCGAAGGAATGCAAATGTTTTGCGAGTGTAACCGGCAATTACTCAGGGAGTTTCCTTTTTGCAGGCCCACTCCCTGTGTTGCCAAAAATTCTGCAAAATTATGTAAAGCACTCCTCCAGGGCGCATTTTGATTGGGGTTTTTTGTTGCCGTCTTCCAAACAAGTTGATCCTAATGTTTGAATCTACTGACTTGACTGCCTAGTGAGTCTGTTGTCTGACAGCAGTATTGCTTTAACATATGAAACTTCTGCTCAATTGCTCACTGGAAGTAAATTGTTTGGTGCATCAATGATTCTGTACATGTTCTGGCACTTTTGTACTGATGCTGAGGTAGTGAAGTTTAAAATGACGGTGAAATAAATTAGAACAGAATATAGCTATACTTAAGTTTTATATTGTACAGTATATTAATTTATTTTTTCCACTCTTCTTGAGTATTTGAAAATTTTTTAATTCTATTTTTCTTGATTGATATTTTGAAACTGCACTTTAAATTGATTCGTTTTAAATATGACACTTTTTTCTTAATTTAAATTATGGTTAATTTAACCTGATTATTCAAATGTTTAATCATGTCAAAATTATTAGAAATCTAACAATTGCATGTGCATTTCATATGCACAAACCAAATGCCTAAATTACATTTTTATGTATTTGTATGTTTGCACAGGAGAACTTCTTTTTGGGATAAAAAACTTAATGGGTTGTTCTGAATTTTTAGATGTTTTTTTTTTCCTGTTGGAGCTCATCCTCATCTGAATATGAATATGGCAAGCTAGGAAAAAGAAAATGGATTTTATAATTTTGGAATGAATTTATTCTGAGTCAATTATACTGTCTCTCATTGTGTTGCTGTAATTGTCAAATGTTTTATGCAAATGACTTAATATACATACAACAAAAACAAAAGCATTACCTCTTGTTTTTCATTCACACCTTAAGCTCATTTTAAAGGACAATCTTATGATGCAGCTTTTGTAGCTGCAGTTAGCTGCCTAGCTCTAAATGTTACACAAGGTAACGCAAAAGACAAATTTGGCCACATGTCCCCTAGAGGGTTCCGTATCTGTGCATAGAGTCTGAGTCTGTTATTTTTATATTAAAAATTCATGTAATTACTGGAAATTTTGGGAGTACCTTCTTACCTTGCGAGAATAACCATCAATCCCGCCAAATAATACAATGTTGTACCTATAGGTAAAAAACGGAAAGAAACTATTACATTTCTATGTCCTTTACAATAGTAAATTATAATGCTCTTATTGTTATTACAATAAGTCATTTCACAGTGTGGTTATTCTATATTAACCTAAAACATTGTCATTAATTAGCATAAAACAAAAACCTCACCTGATGAGCTTGTGATTTGTATCTATGTGCACTAGGTACTTTGGACTGGGCACTGAATATGTTCTCCGGACAACACATCCCAGCTGAGTCATTCGAGACAATATTCCAAAGATGTCTACTCTGTGCATAGAGGCTTTAACTCTGTCCCATCCAACATTATGCCCTTGTGCTTTCAAGGTCCCTTTTACTAATCTATATCCGACATGTGGCATTCTGTTTTTGATCTCTGCAACAAGGACATCCAGTTCTGCATCAGTACACTTGCAGTAAAAAGTACTGATTGACAAATTATTCTCTGTCATCCTTCTAAATAAAGTTGAACGTGACACTCCCCATAACTTTGCAATTGTGTTCACAGAAAGTTCAATTTCAAGTAGATGAACCAATTGTTCAGTGCAGATTATTATTCTTAGACTTGTTATTAATTATTATTAATTATTAATCTTAGACTTAGATTATTATTCTAGACTTGTTGTTAGTCTTTCAAATCTAACAACTTCTTGAGGTTCTTG